AAAACAGGCTCTGAAATCGAGGGCCTAATAGCTCAAAGGAGATGGCAGTTGGCATTTGTAAGCAGCACTCTAAGTAAGCGGATAAACCAAACACATCCAGGGCATGCTAGGACTGGTGTGACTAAGGAACAGCAAGGAGGCCAGGTGTAGCAGAGACAGGGGAGCAAACAGTCTGGAAAAAAAGGCCAGAGAAAGTCCCTCATCAGCCACCTTCAGATTTTAGGACCAGTGATGGAATGTTTACTGAAGGAGGACGTGTATTATTCTTTCTGCCGGCAGAGATATCTCCAAATGACAACATTTGACATAAAGAAAACACTAGGCAATTATTTAGGCTGATTCATTTAAATACGTGGTCTTTCGCCAGGCACAGTGGCTCACACTTGCAATCCCAGCATTTTGGGAGGCTGAGATGGGCAGATCGCTTGAGGTCAGCAGTTTGAGACCAGCCTGGCCAACATGGTGAAACCCCGTCTCTACTAAAAAAACTACAAAAAATCAGCCAGGCATGGTGGCGGGTGCCTGTCATCCCAGCTACCTGGGAGGCTGAGGCAGGAGAATTGCTTGAACCCAGGAAGCAGAGGTTGCAGTGAGCTGAGATCTCACCACTGCACTCCAGCCTGGGCGACGGGGCGAGACTCTGCCTCAAATAAATAAACAAACAAATAAATAAAAATAGTTTTTAATCCTAGCTGCACATTAGAATTATTTTGGGAGTTTAAAAAAAAAATTCCTACAGCTCAGAGATTCTGATTTGTGTGTTCTCTGAGTGGGGTCTCAAGAGTATTTGAGAACAACAGTATTTTTTTTTTTAACCTGGGTGGTATATAGCCTGGTTGAGAACCACTGATGTCCATAAGTTTGGGTCCCTGAGTTACCAGTCTCTCCTCTCATGATCAGGACATTGCCCACATGTCGGCTTCGTTTTTAGCCCTGTAGACACCATCTATGTCTGTACTTTCTCCCTTTGTCTGAGAACTGGCCTCCCTGACTTAAATTCACAAGAGCCAACTGTTGGCTCTTACAGTTTTCAGACACAAATCTCCAGGGTGCAGGCAGCTCCTAGGCCACTCGGAATGACATCATTGCTTAAAAGCATCACTTTATTCTCAATGAGCCTCAGAACGCCCTGGAGCGCGGTAGTACGTATTTCAGAGAAGGATTGCTTAGAGTACTTTTATTCTAAGACTTCAAGGTTTAAAATGTCTTCTGAGCTTTTGCTGTATAATTTCAATAAAGCTCATAAAAAAACGAGGAGGAAGAAAAAAGAAAGATAGTTTTTTGTTTTAATTTATTTACATATTGAGCATTTTTTAAAGGTGAAAGCAAGAAGCCCTCTTAAGTACCAATTTAGGTTCACCCCAGATAGGCAGAAAAGGGAGTAGTGTCTATTTTATCTTTGCATTCCCCAAGAAAGGAAGGCAGCCTTTGCCCCAGGCTCAGCCTCCAAGCCAGCTTTGTCAACATGAGAGAACGTGGGGAGCAGGATTTCAGGGTGCTGCCTCCCTGGCCTAAACCTGCCCGCAGGAGCCGGGCTGGGGTCCCCAAGCGTCCAGTTGTTCCTGCCTGTTTCCGTCCGTTCTCCTCAGTACCCTTGGATCCCTGTTAACCTCAGTATTTTAATTCCTTAGGCATTCCAGAAGTGTTCCTTTATGGACGTAAATTCAAACAGTCATGCCGAGCCATCCCGGGCTGACAGTCACGTTAAAGACACTAGGTCGGGCGCCACGGTGCCACCCAAGGAGAAGAAGGTAACGTGGCAACTGCACATTTGCCACACGGTTGGGAGTCCTTCCTTCCTTGCTCTGACACTAACACGGCTCTTGTACTCGACCTTTGTTCCCTCTGTCTTTTTTCTCTCTCTTTTTTTTTTTTTTTTTAAACTAATGGAGACATAGGTATAGGTTAAAATCAGAGATATCTTGCTCAGGTTTTCAGAGCAAACACTGTGTTCCAGCCCACAGCACACAATAGTCTATGCAGAATTTAGACACTATCTTCCCAAACTAAAGAGTATACACCTGTCAGTACTTTCTAGAACAACTCTAGAAAGAAATATATAGAGACAGCAACCAAGTATTTAGTAGTTTTTCTAATTTGTAACATCCTTTGGGCAAAAAAGAAAAACAACTATCTATGTTTAAAAAAAAATTAGGTAAAAACCAGCCGGGTGCAGTGGCTCACACCTGTAATCCCAGCACTTTGGGAGGCCGAGGCGGGTGGATCACCTGAGGTCAGGAGTTCGAGACCAACCTGGCCAACATGGTGAAACCCCATCTCTACTTAAAATACAAAAAATTAGCTGAGTGTAGAGGTGGTCACCTCTACACTCAGCTACTCGGGAGGCTGAGGCAGGAGAA